TATTTTTACACCATAAGTGCACTTTTAAGTGCTCTTTAATATGACTTTTTATTGATTGAATTCGCTCAAACAGTTGGAAAAATACATCGATAGGAAAAATGACGCGAACTTTTTTGCCATGCCTTACTTTGTTTTCTAAACTGTAAAGTCAAACAAACACGTTGACTCTGCCATTGACATTGGGAACCAAAATAATTTTGTGGACAGAGACATGCTTTTGTTTTATTAATACCCTTGAATAATGTGAGAGCACCATAATGACAATACCAAGCAAGTGCAGCATCCATCTGAGATATATCATTTTTGTGTGTAGATTTTTTGAAAAAGTTTTGATTAGAAGTTGTAGATGTTATTGATGGATAATAGCTAAGTCGTAAAGGACTCAAGAAGCGATCGTTGAAAGCAGAGAGCATCCCCGTGTTAGGTTGAAGACTGCATAAGTATGTATTACGATTATCAACTTGATAGATTTGACTCTCATAATCGACCAGTATGGTGCGTATATGACTTTTAAGACATATGTCTTTTTGTACATTTGCTCTTTCTGAATGATGATTACAAATGTTGTCTTCAGTAATACATTTGGATTTGTTAAATGAGTAAAAATATTTGCTAATGTCACTTGTTCTATTGTCGAAATAAAGTTCTTGAATAACTACATTATTATCGGTACAATCATCTTTGCGCTTATGAAACATGTGCACTAATGGTAAACAATAAGTTAGATTCAAATATTCGCTTTTACATTGAAATTCATTCAATGAGCAATTCGTATCGGGACAATTAAGTTCATCGATGCCATTATGACAATCCCATAATGCATCACAATGTGAGTATGCAGTATCATATGGCCACCATTCACAGTTTGTTTCATCAGTTTCGTTCCCATCTGTTGCTTCAATGTATGGAGTTATGTCACATATAGATGAAAATGGTATTGGTCGCTGGATGCCATATATATTGTTTTCTGTCTCATCTTCTCCTTTTGGACAATTGTTAATTCCATCCCCAATCGCTACAAGCGACAAGCACTTGGTTGGATCTGATGGACACATAAATCGATTTGAGTCATTCAGATGGCATGCAGAAAATGATTCGTCTTCATTATATAAACAATCTCTGAATCCATCACCAACACGATTATATGAAATGCATCTTAAAGATGTATTACAATGAAAATAAGATGAATTTGCACATGACATTTCATTGCCGGTAGTTGAACATACATGATAGAGCTGAAAGAATTCATATTCAACATGTAAAAATGCTGCATTTGATACTCGTAAATCAAGTCAAAAGTTCGGCAACATGTAAGATGATCGACTGTTTTAATTGGGACTATTCTAGATAACAATGTAGGACATTTTTCTGCATCAAAACATACGAAGTCAGGTACGACATTAATCTTAAATTCATTAATCGATCGATTAGTCAAATAGACAAATTGAAAATATCCATACATAACAGAATATTCAGGTAAAACTAACCATTCATCCAAACAAGAATTGGCTAGAAGTTCACAGTTTGTATCCCAAGTAACTTCAAAATATTCAAATGATGGATAGAAGTGAAACTGAGGATCGTAGTCTAGATTAGCACACAATTACAAAAGAAGCGTTATAATAAAAGTCAATTGAAAAATATCATAAGATAAAATACTGAAGAAAAAGGCAATGCCCAGGATTTACATATCAACAAGAGATGTGTTAGCAAAATCATTTGTTCGTGCAATGACTTTGCAAAAGTAAAACATATATCTCTTCGAATAATGAAATTTCCTGAAGTTAATTTTTATATATTACGTGTATGTTACGTTACTTTGGGTACCCTGAAAAAACCATCACGAAACATCTTTGTTCAAAAGAGTTCTCTGTAAAAACGTAGCACTAGAAACGTTACACAATATAGCAAACATCGATTTTCACTTCACGCATTTTTGTTTAAAAAATCTCCAAACTGTGGCAACGTTTCTCAAAAACTCAGTTGTACATTCTCTAAACAACTCTTGAAACTAAAAAATCTGCATGCAAAATTTTTTCTGAGCATGCATTGATTTTTGAAAAACAAGCAATTTACTTTTCGTTAGTATTTTGACAAAGTGAAAATATACCAGCGAAAAATATTTTTATAATTGAATAGATGGGTCAAAGCCAATTATAAAAAATAAAAATCCTCCTTGGACATCTTTAGAAGATGATAAGACAGAAATTTTTCTTCCAAGATTTGATAGGATAAGTAGAAAGTCGATTTTTATCGGAAAGCTTGAAGTCCGCACTTACTGAAAATTTTAACACGGATGTGGTTCGTACCATAAAAACTATTCTGAGGGTGTGGGTGTGGATGTGGTAGGGATATGAGTTTGAATTGAAAGCAAAGATTCACATCCACACTCTTCTCGATTGATAAAAAAAACAGTCTTAAAAAATGACGAAAAAAATTTCAATGTTCAAGGTCTTATTGAAAATTCACACGAGCACTGAGTCAAGTTCATTCTTTTTGATTGATTAAGTGATTCTTAAGTTAATATTAAACTGAAAAGCTAATCTTATTTGGTTGTGCTTTGTGCATATCTTTAGTATTGTAAAGCAAATAAGTTCTATTATAATATGCTGCAGTTTTGAATCGAGACAAAAAATAAAAATTTGACATGTCTATTGTGAACTAAGTCTGTCGAGAACACAGCTAATGCAAAATATATCAAACATTCCATAATCCTTCTCATCTTATCTATATAATGAAATATAATCCTGTTCAAAGTCTTCGACATAGTCAGCACTTTTTTCAATAGTGATTGTTGACAATAAAGACGAAATCAGGGGTGTGGGTTTGGGTGTAGGTATCGGTGTGGATAGTCTATTCACTCATTGCAATACTCACACATCCCACACCCACCCTAACATAGTGGCAGCGTGAAGACGTCTGATGAAGAAGGAGATATTTCCAAAAAGCGGTGTAGAATGTAATTCAATGCAATAGCATTTCAAATCAATCAAAGTTGAATGTACATAATATAAGAGCCAGTCCATATAAGCCACGACCGAAGTTGCTCAATCAAGGTCCTCAGATTTTACTCAATTTAAGACATATTGTAGAGGGAAGCGTTTTATGCATTATGACACAAAGTGTTTTAAAAAATATTGATCCCTCAATTTTTTATGAGCATTTTACGAAGAGGCCTAAAAATGGCCATATTCCACCAAGGAGGTCTGGTGTGAATTGACCATAGCTCAAGAATAACTAGACCGATTCAGCTGAAAGCTTTTAAGGACATATATCTCAGTGAGTCATATTCATCATACAATTTTTGTTCGAAAATATTGAGCCGTTGGAATTTTATGAAGCACCCAATATATGGAGAATGAAACATTTCCGGTAAGTTTGATGCTTCATAACTTTTGATTGGAATCGAATAGATGCCTGAAATTTTCATTGTAGATAGGACGCTGATATATGTACCTCTCCTGAAAATTTCAGTTTTCTATATCATTCCGTTTGCTCAGGAAAGTTCTCTCAAAAACGAGTTTTTGATGGAATTGGTGGTGTTCAGGTTTGGCTATCTCCCAAGATATGGATTGCTCTGGGAGGTGATATGTCGAAATTAGAAGTACTGTCTGTGAATTACAACCCTATAAAAAAAATTACCGTGGGATCTCCAGAAATGGTCCTGGAAGACTCATTGAAAAATACCAAAACTGAGCCCTTTACAATAGGAAGTGTACCAAGTTCGCTTACATTAGAAATTACTCCAAGAGTTTCATCATATGAAATAAATCCTACCTAGTAAAAATCAGCATTTGATCCTCTATTACCTCAGGTAATAGAGGATCAAATGCTGCTTTTTACTGGATACAATTTATCTTATATAATGTAACTCTTGGAGCAACTTTTAAAGTGATAGGGGTGCGTTTCCTATAGGAAAGGGCTCATTTTTCAGTGTTTTTCACTAGATCTTCCAGGGCTATTGTTGGGGATTCCACGCTAATTTTTTTATAGGATTGTAGTCCACAGAGAGTATTTCTAATTTTGACATATCAGTTCCCAAGGCAACCCATACCTTGGGAGATAGTCTAACCTGAAAACTCTCAATTTCATCAAAAATTCGTTTTTGAGAGAACTTTCCTGACCAAACGGAAAAATATAGAAAACTGAAATTTTCAGAAGAAATGCATATATCAGTGCCCTATCTATAGTAAAAATTTCAGGCCTCTATCCGATTCCAATCAAAAGTTATGAAGGACCAAACTTACCGGAAATGCTTCATTTTCCATATATTGGTTACTTCATAAAATTCCAATGGCTCAATATTTTCAAACAAAAAATTTATAGTGAATAGGACTTACTGAGATATATGTCCGTAAAAACGTTCAGGTAAATCGATCTAGTCATTCTTGAGATATGGTCACATTCGGACTCCCCTTGGTGGATATGGTCATTTTTAGACCTCGTCGTAAAATGCTTATAAAAAATCGAGGGATCAATATCTTTAAAACGCTTTGTGTCAAAATTCATGAAACTCTTTCCTCGACAACATATCTTAAATTGAGCAAAATCTGAGGATCTCAGTTGGATAGGGTTCCTATGTGATCGGTCGTGGCTTATATGGACTGACTCATAAGCTCTTGCTCATAGTTAGAAATGCAAATAAATCTGGTTTCTTTTTTTTTATTTGACTTTTACATAAACATTAAGTGATGAGACGAGTTAATAGATTTATAAAGAATTCAAAATCATGTAATGCACAGCAAACATTAGTAGAGAAGCCTAAAAAACGTTTTGTCTTAGAAGTTCTTCTATCAAAAATGTTTTTCAATGTTATTCATCATTGTAGGCGTCAGAATCGTGACAACTAGTAACCGATATAATAACGGTAAATTATCATTAAAAACTTTCAATATGTTACTAAGCTTTCGAAAACTAAGCAAATTTCTTTTTTCAATGAAGGACAACGAGATGATAATTTATATTTCAAGACTTTATCTATTGCATACTAGCGGTTGAAAAGCAGAAAAAACACTTGAGTTTTTTCAGTAGTTAAATTAATGTACAGTTATTCTTACTTACTATAACTCCGATTTGACAGTAGGGAACAACGAAATGCTTGTTGGCATTTACTATCTTTAATGTGATGGAACGAAGTAAACATGGTTAAAGCCACTTCTCTATTTTGTTTGTTCGAACAACCATTTATATTAACTGGAATCATAGCCGTTGGAAAAAATTCACTATTACCACATGGAAAAGCAAGAGCATATCGATCAATACGCTCGTCACATCGAAATACGATGCGCGAACCACAAAAATAATTTTTCAAAGATATATATTTGTAGTAGCTTTCTACCTCTTCACTACCATCGAGGCAGTCAATACTAACAGTGCCGTCTCGTGCATATGCCATTGGAATACATTGACCATCATAATGACATCGATATTCATCATCAGCACATGTTGTCATCTCTAATATTCCACACCATTGTTCGTCTTCGCCATTCATACAATCGACTTTGCCATTACATATTTGCCGCCAGTCGAGACATAAACACCATGATTCACGATTACAATCAGCTAAGAAGCGATAACACATGGTAATACTTATGTTGAGCATCAGGTTTAAACGACTTTTCAAGAAAAAATGAATAATTTCATTAAATGACAAAGAGGAATCGTAGACAAATCGATATTAACATTTCAACCCAAACCATGGCGATGAACAGTTATAGAACAATTCTGAACTTTGATTATTCGTTTCATATCGTTCAGCAAGATCGATGAGTGCTGACCACTTAAGAAGTTGTTCACTTGTTACGCCTTGTTCACTCAATTTTTCAAAAGTAATATTGCTTGCTATATTTTCATTGAATGTATCAGATGTTTCTTCTTCTTTGTCATCATTATCAGGTCGTCGACAATAGGGAGTCAACTGATTGATCTTAATGTAAGATGAATATTCATTTAATTGATCTTCGATGAGTTGAGTGTGTAGACAATCATATGTCATATACAAAATAGGACAAATATCAGAATAATATAGTGAATATTGAGTATACACCACATTATGCAGAGCAAGCAATATCATCACATACATGATCAGCATTCTTTCAAGAGTTGTATAAAAGATTATAATTATCAATACTTTTATAGTCCTGCAATATGTTGATTAACAAAAAGGTTATTTTTTTCATTTTACGGAAACGCAAACTGAAAGAATACATATGGTGTTCCTGTTTGTTTTCTGCAATTATAGAACATATGTGGCTCCTGTTTTAACAAAACGAAAATCACGATTCATAGATTAAAAGACAAATTGATGTTCTTCTGCTCGATAATCACCCAAGAGTAAATACGATAAACAAAACTGTATCAGATGCAAAAGTTAGTCTTTCATGATTTACTTATTTCTGAAAAAAAAATGTTACTGAGTATAAAAGAAGAAAGCATTTATTAGGTGTTTTAAAATGTCGAAAGACCTTTTAAAAGGGCAGAGTTCAGTAAGCGATAAAAATCGACTTTCTCTCGAAATCCAATGTTATCATTCCAACAGAGTCATTTTGACTGTTAAATAGAGTTCGAGTGTTCCAAAAAAAAGCATGGAATCAAATCGCAATCGAAACTCTTCCGTTTTGTTTATCTGTAATCAAAATGCGAGCCGTTGAAATTGAAAACTGTCGACTCAACTCTGGGAACATACTCAACTGCTACATTATCTAAGGTAGGAAAGATCAATCTAGGATTGTACCAATAGTAAACTATGTGTATTTTTCACAATTAGATGAAAAAAGAAGTGAAAAATAGCTAAAATTGTGATAACGATTGCTGAAAAAAATTCAGTGTCGTCAAAACACCTCTTTTCAGAAAAGTCATAATTAGACACTTCGATGTGCATTTTCTTAAACATTATGACTTTGAGTTATATCCTTGTTAAAAGCGACGTTTGTGCCATAAAAGACGATTTTTCGTCTAAAAAAAATCGTTTTTACTGAATAAAGTCAGTTTTTCTTACATCAGCTGTTCGCTGATGTGTCTCCAGCGGTATTCTATCACAGTCACAGATAAATTCAAATATTTCATATTTGTTTGAAGCATCATGATTAGGACTAACAATTATTCTAGTATTTTTCAAAATAAAAACAATATTTCCTGTCGAAGAAAATTTTATCAAATTAGTCTTCCGTCATTTAATTTCTCAGGTTTATTGAGGACTTTTTTGACTTGTTGTATTTCTCAAGATTGGAGAAAGACGAAAATCTTTTAAAAATTTAGACAGTTATTAGATCCCAGTGTCTTCTGTTAAATAAGAAAAAGATGAATAAACTTCTTCAGTTGAGCTGCCTTAGTGCAATTACAGATGTGAGAGACACAGAAACAGAGTGTAATTAACATACTGAAATCCTGCTAATCTTTACTAAGAACAAGATATAAAGTTGAAATTTATTTTTATATGTAATTAAGCACTCCAATATTTGCACAAAATTTCAGCTTAATATGATTTTTTTTCATCAAAGAAAAATGATCATATAGTTAATTAACAGTCATGATTTGCTCCTTTTTTATTCTATCTTCCACAGACATTACTTTGTCAAATGTAATAAACACTAACATTTTCGACAAACGAAATATAACTTACAGATTTTAAGGAAGAATTATTATATCAGTTATTTGGTATAATATTCTTAGATTAGCGGTTCCAAAAATACTTTACAGACACTAAAATTGGAACCACAAGCTCCTATTATCAAAAATTACACTATTTCAGGCGTTCCACATTACATCAAAGTCGAGACGTGTCAGGATTCCAAGAGTTCAGAACTCTTCAGGAACCCTGAACTCTAAAAACAATGAGAGCTAATATATTTTTGTTAACATGTCATGACGGAACCTTTCGAATTTCTAGAACTCTTGAACTCTTAGAACTATTGAAACTCAAGGAACTACGAATTGAATTTTCTTGACGGGATTTTCAGGAACTTTAGTCTTTTCAATAGTGAGGAAATTTTACTTCATAATTGCGGCCTTGAAGAAATAACACTTTTCCGGAGCCTGTCACATGAGCATCCAATCCGTGTCTCGAAAGGAGACGCAGTTTCAAGGGGCATCATCTTTTACACCAACCAGCGGCTATTCATAAAACCGAGTCCAATGCTTTTGCATAAACCAAAGTATACATCATGATCAGTGTCATGCAAGCAGATGATATCGAAACCATCGAGCAGATCTGTCGCGGTGAAACATTTAGCTTTTTCCTCTGTCATTTACCGATATCTCCGCAATCATCTGAACAAAATCGAATACACCACCATTACAAAGCTCGGTCCACCATATCGAGATTCACCCTCCCCATTTGCTACTGAAAATTGTCGAGAGCAGCCGCAGCATTCTGGAGAAACTGCTTACAAAACTTGCCACGTACTCACAACAAGCCCCAACGCACACATTCGCACACGCACTCACACACTCACGTACACACCAACACTCTATGATCATACCGCGGTTTCGAGCGGTTTTTGTAAAAACGTTTTTCCGTGGGCGAATCAATGAATAAGAAAACTAACAAAAAATATAAGGCTAGAATTTAAATGATCACTAAGTTAGAATATTATAAAATCAGTAGATCAAATGATTGATCAGTGTATTACCTTGGGGTGTTGGTGTGAGTGTAGGCGTGGATGCATGTGTGGCAAATGGGGAGGGTGTGAGTGGGTGTTAGTACGAATTAATAATGCCCACACCAACGTTAGACAGTCATGTATGAAATAATAATTTCTTATCAATAGTCGATGTGAATGAAGTCCATCTTCTAAATATTCAACGACGGTGGAGATATTGGTTCGTCCTCGAATGAATAGTAAATTTGATCTATTATTGTACCAAACGACACCAAACACTACCACTTGGTTCTGTACTTGACTACGAAATGTAGTTGGACGTGATCGGCCGCAAGGAATCCAATAAACAAGCCGTGAAGCATCAACCTGGAAGACTTTTTCATCAACGAAAATAAATTGACTCCAATCATCGTGAGTATGCTGTTGATAAAATGCTAATCGATCATCGGTATGTCTTTGATTTAGTAGGGGTTGAATTTTGGCGTGAACAGGATGAAAACCCAATCGCCTCCGATAATTTCTAATGACTCGAGTAGTAACAAAACGTCCAGTTCGTTGATAAAATCGATTGTTTAATTGAGACGATGTTTCACTCGGATATCTGTACAATAATCGTATCACAGTGTGAAATTTATCATCGCTCAACGAATTGCCACCACCACGTCCTTCGAGTTCTATCACATTATTAGTTTCATGAAATAACTGCAAAATATTGTGCACCGTTTGATGTGTACAATTGATAATGCGTGCTATATGACGAAAACTAAGGCATTGGTCCACTCGTAACGAAATTACCAGCCAACGATCACCAATAGTTAGATGCCTGTTCATGTTGAATTCACTAACCGTATCGAAATGATCAGAAAAATGAATGTATGAATCTTTTATATTTCCTTCTTCTTTATTTTCCCTTCTTCTTTAAACAAAGAACAAAAAGCACCTTTCTCAACAATAATCATTGCTTAAATAGGCCGGCGGCAAGCGAGAGAAAAGTATGTATATAAAGATAATAGAATGTAATCAAAGGAGGGGAAGAAAACCATATTTATGGCAGGGGATATAGCTCTTGCCAGAACACAATCAATAATCACGTGGTTGATTGAAGAAACATTCTAATGGTTAAAACAGAACTGAACGAATTGATAACTGCATCGTCAGAGTAAATCTTAATCCAGAGTTTAGTTTTCATTCATTTAGTTATGATACTAGTAGACTTTGTAGATATTCATGACAGACAAAAATATACAATGTGATAGAGGATTTGATGAGCTACAAGAACATCTAGTTCTATTTGAAAAAAACTAATCCATAGAGAGATGACAATGTAAGTTAAAACTTTAGAAAAAATACGCATTTTCAAATTTGTCAATCGGAAAAGTTTTCATTTTTCTGGTATTATATTCTGACGAAAAACAATTATACTATAGAGAAATATCCGTCTTGTAGAGAATTTTCAGGGCTATCAGAATGTCTATTTACTTTTTCAAAAACTCGTTATCTGACCAAAGATTCATCCAAAATGCTAAATACGAAAACAATGAGAAAATCGACTGTTTGGGAATGTCACTATCATGGTGCCTTCATTCCACTCGATTAATTTTCCACCATAGAAAAGCTATATATAATCAAAAGGTATACTTTGATAGAGAATTACAAGAGCTATCGAATGGCATAATTACTTTTCCCAATAAGTCGTTTTCGAGTGTAAAAATAGGTCAAACATAGTGACTAACTTTTGCTTTCCAGGGGTATATATGGGTATTCATGATAAAATTAATCTTGATGTCATTCTTTAAAATTGCTTTTCTTTTCAAAAATTATTCTTGCATATTTCTCATGGTATAACTATTAATCTCGATACAACTATTAATTTTCNTTTCTTTCGCTAAATAATGATATCTGAGTGAATAGAGCAATATTATGATTGCTGAACAAATACAATCGATTATCTTGATACTCGAAATTTTTTCGACTGATTAGAGAGATTCAGATGAAAAGTTGACTGTTGAAGTATTTTGACAAGTTTTTCGAGATTTACCATGATCTAAAAATGTGATGATGACTGCAAAATCATCTTAACGCAAAAACCTAGTTCGAGAACAAAATTTCTACCTATTCTACTTTGTGATAGTTTTCAACCGCGAGATATCGGAGAGAAGATGTGGATGTAGGTGTGAGTGTAATTGTTAGCGTGGTTCTTTTTTTTACACTCCCACTCCTTTCTTGTAGCTGACTAGGAAATCTTGTAATATTATATATTAGCCATGAAATAAAATCATAGCAATGGACAAGCAAAGTTTTAATTGACGTTCAAATAAAACATATTATAAAATGGTTTGAAGAAACTATTGAAATACAGTTCACTCAATTGATTCACATCTTTATTTCGAAGACTAATAAAGCACTGTCAGCTGACAACAAAGCAAAGCGAATAATAATTTACGGATTGTATCTATAACGTTGATAAATGAACTAGGAGCAACATTAATAGAAATATTTGTCTATTAGAATTTCACATCAAACCTATTAAGATCTTCGACGGAATCGTCGAATCCATCGCTGTATTATTTTATCGAATTCACTTTTGTAATTTTTTGATGGTAAAATAAATACAAACAATGTTGACATTGATGGAATAAAGGATACAAAATAACCAATCAAATATAACCAAGATTGACGTGGTGATCTCATGCATCCTGACGTGAATGAAATAATAAGATGTGGCAAACCTAATACTAACAAAATACTAGGTGCAATAATAATATTTTTATGTTGTTTAAGTTTCAATCGAAAGTGTTGCTTGAATGATAGTTTCGATTCTACATTTACACGACTACGAGCTGCTCCTATAATAATTACAAAAGCAGATACCAAATTAATGGAAAAAGGAACAAGAAAATGAAAAAGTGTAATAAATATGTTATATTTAGTTAATGCAGGGGAATATTGAGATAAACACCATATTCGTTCTTGATCTCCATCTAAATCATTAATCACTTGTCGATAAAGTGGATCATGAATATGTGTAATTGTGGCTAAAATAATAATAACTAAAATCACTCGTTTAGCTACTATCCTACTCTTTTTTTTGTCAAATGACACATTCTTGATGATAGCAAACATTCTTTCAGTAGCTACACAAGCATTAAGCCATTCACTTGATGCTAAACAAGATTTAAGAATCATTTCAATTGAAATACAATTAAATAAAAGTAATGATCTATTAGTTATGATTGACATTTGTGAAAGGACAAGTTGCCAAAATTTAATTGTTAATACAATAATCATACACATTGAACTAATCGATGATGCGAGAAGATAATAACCACAACCAACTTCTCTTGATCTTTTCACTTGAAACGTCGCTATAGACAATGAACCCATGATTAATTCTAAAATCAACATAATTGTAGTAATAATAATGCTGAATTTGACAATAAATGGTTGTTGATGAAGTGAAATACTTGGTTTAATATGATATCCAAGAATTGGATCGAGTGAAAAAATGAAATCGCTTGTTGAAAATTGGCATTGCTTTCCATGGTAACAATCATTACACACACAAATGAATGTTGTTGGACAGGTTTCATTGTTGAGAAAACATTGACCGTCATTATAACAAAGATTTTTTTCATTACAATTGTATTTTATCGTATTATTAAATTCGAAACAATTTGAAAAACGATCACTATCACATACACACATGAAGTATTCGTCATAAAAGCACATCAATTGTGGATCTTGACGACATAAAAGTGGATAATATTTCACCCGACGTAGATATTCATACTGACGAAAAGTATCATTAAAAAGATCAAGAACTGGATAACAACGGTTTTTTGGTAATACTTGAGTATGAATATATTCGGATGGTATATATGTTTCTCTTAATACAGTTAGATAATAATTACCATCAGGTATTTGTATGAAAAGAATGTTAAATGGTTGTCGTGTATAAATGGTCATAGTATTGTAACCGAAAGGAATCTTTTTTAGTGTGGTCATTCTTTCATGTTTTATAGATTGGTGAAATGCTATTATGTAATGTAGAATGAATGATGAACTTATTATTAGAATTGTCTCATCTATAGAAATATCAATTTGAGTATTTTTATTTTGACATCGTTCACCTTGATAAGTTTCTTTACAAACACAGATAAATTCATGTAAATTAATACGATCACCAATTGCTATACAAAGTCCATTGTGTTGACATGTATTGTTCATTGATTGACATATTGATCTTTTCAAATAACAACGTGAACCGAACTTGTTCAAAGGACACACACAAATAGATGAACCAAGACAGAATGAGTCATTTGAACATTGACATTGATGTGTAATATTACAGAAAGTACCAGAATATCCTTGATCACATCGACAAAAAAATAAATTGTTCATATTTGCGTATTTCATACATCGACCATGTTCTCCACATGACAGTGTACATACTGTATTTTCTCGTATTTCAGGAATGATTAATTGAGTCGATATTCGATTTACAGGTAGAAACTGAAATGGAATTGGCAAATACCAACTCGTCCAATAATCTAATGTTGACTTGTCAAAAAGATCAATACGAATCGAATAATTTGTTGATGAATGTTTGGGACGATGTGGATAAAGTAGATAGATGTTAAATTTTGTTTTACAATCACGAGCAGGCATATACATTCTTTGTTCATGATTGGATGCAATACTTCCTTGTTCATCAATCAGCATGATGATTAATTGATAAACAACTGCAAAATCAATAATACTACTCATTCTAAACTGTAAAGTTAAACTAACACGTTGACTTTGCCATTGACATTGAGAACCAAAGTAATTTGGTGGACAGAGACATGCTTTTGTCTGATTAACACCCTTGAATAGAGTAAGAACACCATAATGACAATACCAAGCAAGTGTAGTATTCATCATAGGTATATTCTTTTTGTTTTCATATTTATCAAGAATGTTTTCAACAGAAGTCGTAGATGTTGTTGATGGAAAAAAGCCAAGTCGCAAAGGAGTCAAGAAGCGAGGGTTAGAACTATAATGTGATTTTGTTGGATATTCAATAGTGCATAGGTATGTGTTGTTATTATTGACCATGTGGACAGTAGTCGGCGAGAGTATCAACTTACGTATTGGATTTTGAATACATACGTCTTCTTGTACATTTGTTGTTTCTGAATGAGGATTACACAAGTTGTCATCATTGATGCATTTGGATTTGTTAAATGAGTAGTAATATTTGCTAATGTCATGTATTCCATTGTCGAAGTAGATTCGGAAAATATATCTATCTTTCAGGCAGTCATCTTTCCGCTTATGGAACATGTGAACAAATGGTAAACAATAAGTTAAATTCAACTCATTGTTTCTGCATTCAAATTCGTTTAATGAACAACTTATACCGGGACAATTAAATTGATCGATACCATTAAGACAATCCCAAACTGTATTGCAAGATGTGTATGGATTGTTACATGGCCACCATTCACAGTTTGTGTGATAAGTTTCAATGCCATTTGCTGGTGAAACGAGTTTAAGAAACTGACATATACGAAAAAACAGTATTGGTTGCTGAATGCCATATATATTTTCAACTGTTTCATCTTCTCCTTTTGGACAATTTTTATGTCCATTCCCAATTGCTACGGGCAACAGACACTTGTTTGGATCTGACATACACATAAATCGATTTGAGTCGTTCAGATGACATGTAGGAAATGATTCATCTTCATTATAAAAACAATCTTTGAATCCATCACCAACACGATTATATGATATGCATTTTAAAGATTGATTACAATGAAAATAAGATGAATTTTTACATGACTTTTCATTACTGGTAGTCGCACATTGAGAATAGATGAACGAAAAATTTATGTTTAACTGATGAAAATGTTGGATCGTTTGTACTTGAATAAGATCAAAAATGCGGCAACATGTTAGACCATCAATTATTTCAATTGGAATTATTCTAGATAATAATATAGGACATTTCTGTGCATCAAAACAGACAAAGTCCGGTGCAACATTGATTTTAAATTCGTTCATCGATCGATTAGTCAAATAGACAAATTGAAAATATCCATACAAAACAGGATATTCAGGTAAAAGTAGCCATTCATCGAGACAATACTTTGCTAGAGGTTCACAGTTTGTATCCCAAGTAACTTCAAAATATTCATCTGACTCACGCATACCGTAGAAGATATTGTAATCTAGAGTAATGGAAAATTACAGAGAAGAGTTATTTATAATAAAAGTGAATTGGAAAATATCGGAACATAAAATGCTGAAAAACAAAATTGTGGTGATGATTTACAAGTGGACAAAACCATTTGTTAGCGGCGTGAATTTACAAAATTAAAATCGGTGTATCTCTGGATAATGAACTTGTCGAGAGCTAATTTTAATATGTTCCATGATTCCAAATGGTGCAAAACCTTTTTCAGTCTCTAGATGACAGTAAAATAGAAATTTTTGTTTCAGGACTTGATGGAATCTTTGGAAAAATGATTTTTATGAGAAAGTTTCTCAGAGTCCAATCTTGATGAAAATTTTAGAATAGATGCGGTTTGTGCCGTAATGTCTATGCTAAAGTTTTCCGATTTTTTTCCCATATAATTAGAAAGATATTTGCTAATTACTAGTTAATTCATAGTCAGTTGGAAGAGCCAACATTTTTACATATATCTATACTAAAAGAACTTATGCATAACAAAAAAGAACCCTTATAAATAATCAAAGTTAAATGAAAGATTGATACGTCTGATGGTGCCTAAAATTACTCATATAAAAATGCCATAGTATTTTATATTATTTATTTCAGTTTTTGTGTTTGAACAATGTATAATAAATACGAAGTATTTTATGCAAAGAAAACAACAAATAAGTAAAATATAATATGAGAATATTAGTTTATCTTTTATACTTTCTGATGAATGTAATTAATAGTTCAACTATAGTTGTTAGACTTTTATGTTGTTGTTCTTAAATTTGGAAATCTATGTCAACGAGTCGTATTTTTGTCCTAAAACTTGTTTAACCTTGTTAATAGTTTATATGTTGATACTGCAATTTCAAATAAAAGCGACATCTGTTTGCATCTTGCATTCTTCTTTTTAACAATTATCTTCTGCAACATACATTTTTCAATACTTTGATTTTAACATTTTTTTATGTCAATAGATTCTATCTCTCATACGATGATGTCAACTTACACAGTTTGAGCATTTTGGGTTGCAATTTTTTTTCTACAAACTGCTACTTCGATAATCTCTCTCATCTTTCATGCTATTATTGAATTTACTAGTAGACTAATTATATACAACGATGATTTAGAATTAGTTGAAAGTTGTTACTTGGATGTACCACAACCAATTTTTGAAATATGATTTTTTGGTTGAAAATCGTTCTCGATCGATAAAAAAAAGTGTTGCAAAATGACGAAAATTTTTTTTCTATATTCTTTTGTATTTTTATTAAATTATAAGCTCAGTTCACGTAACATCTATTTCAGATCCATAGTTAAAATAAATTTCAATATTTAATGTCTAATGAATAATGCAGATGAGCACTGGATCAAACTTACTCCATTTGACTTAACAAATTATTCTCAACTTAATATTAGATTGAAAAGCTGATGTTAATTGGTTGGGTTTTTCTCTTATCTTTTATAAAACAATTAAGCTCATATATACTGCAATGTTCAATCGAGACAAAGAAGAAAAATTTTAAATATATGTTGTGAACCAAGTCTGTCGAAAATGCAACTGATTCAAAATTGAAACCAATCTCTATTAGTAAGCAGGTGTTGATCAAGACATCAAAATATGCACACACCTACATCATATCCATACCTACACATCAACACACACCGATACCTTTGAATAAGTTTCTATACGAAAAGTAGAAAAGTTAATGTAACAGATTGGTGAACGACCGATCTACAGATAATAATTGATATCACAGCAGACCAACTAGTTTCTGCTACCGTTTCGATCTCTCACTGACGCTAACCATTTAGTGTTATCTTATATATTTTAGCTAACAAAAATATACATGGAAATGCCATTTCCTCTTAGGACGATCTTTAAAGAAGTCATTTTTATGAACAAAAAGTCCTACCAAAGATAAAACGAACAGAAGGGCTTAAAAGTGTCAAATAGGCTCAATGAATTTGTTGTGCTCAATCACGTTGAGTCGTATATAAATCAAAGCGCATATTTACATTAACATTTTTTTTAATTTACTATTCATTGGATCACTTCTGAGCCCAGTAGGAATAACAATCATTCACAAAGTAGTTATCACTTCTAACACTAATCCTCACAATTATTGCGTGTTAAATATGTTCACGAACTCGTCAGAATTAACCTACTCTAAAATAGTAGTTCGATAAGATTTTATGCAAACTTCAATTTTATATATGATGCCATTATTCACCGATGCGTTTTCGCTTGCTAAAACAGCACAAACTGACTCTATATGACTTTCTAGTCATACCTCTCGGGTCAAATCTTCGTCTACCAAAGAATTTCTCAATGCAAATCGTAGGCTATCCATTTTCCAGGATGTCTTATACAATAGTCCTTAGGAGAAACAACAATACCGTGTATTTTTCCAAAAAGTTCAAGGCAATCGAAGTTGAGTCTACATAATATAATTCTTTTTTCTACAGTAAAAAATGTGCAAAAATATTGTCCCTTTCGACTGACTTTTACATAACTATCAAGTGTTGAGACAAATTGTTCAATTTATACAGAACTCAAAGCCATGTGCTTTACAGGAAACATTAGTGTAGGTTCTTAAAAAATTCTTCTTGTCTTGTAACTCCTTCTAGTAGAAATGCTTGTCAATGTTGTTCACCACTGAAGGCTGTCACAGTCGCGACAACTGTTACCAATGTAATAACTACCGAATATCATTAGAAACTCTCAAGCTCGTACTAAATTTTCAAAAATCAGACAAACTCATTGTTGCAATGGAAGACGAAGAGATAATAATTTACATTTCAAGGCTTTAGCTATAGCATATTACTCTTTGAAAAACAGATAAAACACTTGAGTTTTCTCAGTAGTTAAATTAATATATAATTGTTCATGCCTACCATAACTTCGATTTGAAAGAAGTAAACAACGAAATGCTTGTTGGCATTTAATATCTTTAATGTGATCTAATGAAGTAAGCATGGCTAAAGTCACTTGTCTATGTCGTTCGTTGGAACACTGATGCGCATTATCTGGCAATTCGGTCGCTTCCAAAAATTGGCCATTACCACATGGAAAAGCATGAGGATATCGATTAATACTCTCTTCACATTGAAATGAGATAATTCGACGACAAAAAGAATTTCTCAGTGACATAAATGTTGGGTCTTCCTCTATCTCTTCACTACTATCGAGACAGTCAAAACTTAAGGTATTGTCTCGTACAAATTCCAATGGAATACATTGACCACCATAATGACATCGATATTCATCATCAGCACATGTAGTCATCTCTAATATTTCACACCATTGTTCATCTTCACCATTCATACAATCAACTTTGCCATTACATATTTGACGCCAATCGAGACATAAAGACCATGGCCCACGCTGACAATCAGATAAAAAGCGATAACATGTGGTAACACTTACGTTCAGCATGACATCCGAACGACTTTCCAAAGATGCTTGAATGATTTCATTAAACGAAAGAGATGAATCGTAAACAAATTGATATTGACATTTCGAACCAAACCATGGTGATGAACAGTTATAAAATAACTCTGAACTTCGATTATTTATTTCATATCGTTCAACAAGATCAATGGGTGCTAACCAATGGAGAAGCTGTTCACCTGTTATACCTTGTTTGCTCAATTCGTTAAAAGTAAGTTTGTTTGCTATATTGTCATCCAATATATCAAAACTCTCTTCTTCTTTTTCATCATTATCAGGTCGTCGACAATAGGGAGTTAAGTGATTGTTCGTAATATAAGTCGTATACTCATTTAATTCACCTTGAATGAGTTGAGTGTACAGACAATCAAATGTCAGATACGAACTTGGACGAATATCAGAATGATACAGTAAATGTTGAACATGCACTGCATTATACAGAGCAAGAAATATCATTACACTTATAATCAGCATTCTCTCACGATTTGTGTGAAAAGTGATAATTATCAACACTCTCAGATTCCTAGAATACATCAATCAATGAAATACTTTTATTTCTATTTGGCAGAAACATTAATAGAAAGAATGCATATTATATTTCTGTTCGTTTTACTGGAATTAAAAAGCATTTGTGGCTCCTGTTTTAAAAAACTATAGATCAAGGCCCGTAGTTTAAAAGAAGAGGTCTCTTTGCGGACATGAAAATTTGAATTTTTGAATTTTTCGTATTTTATCGCTAGTATAGCTTCGAGGTGTCCCCTGTCAAATACCATATAAATGAGGGGTCTTCGTTATTGCTAAGGAAGTTTATTAAATCCAACTTTCAAAGTCCTAAGCAGAAATCACATGCTAGGATTATTCTATTCTATGGAAAATTGCCCCATGATATTGATTACTTCTCGTTTCAATGGTACTTAGCGCATTAATCATAGGATTGTAACACCATAGAACGCAACTAGCTTTCTATTAATCTAACTGGAAAAGCTCCTAATTTATATGGAAAATCTTGCATTTCAGTGTTCCCAAAATCGGTTTTTCCAGACAAAAAAAGCCAGAATCGTATCTATCTCTCCA